TAAATCTGATAGTTTTATTTAATGTTTTTAATGTTTTACTTATTGGTTTGCTCGCCAATGCACGGAGCTGCTTGTCGTTACTGCCCTGTATAATTTAGTAAAGTCTGGTTGTTGGGTCTCGTCAAGCTTCTTATGAAGCTTTTTAACCCTGCGGAACCATCCAGCATGTATAATGCGGAAAAAAAATAAAACATTAATTGCATTGCTCACGAAACTCTCATGGTATTTATACGAACAGAAGCCGCTGCTGTACGGTCGCCATGGTCAACGCGGGGGCATACGTAGGTGCGCGCTGCTCTCGACTGAATGTAGTGCTGGTTTTAGGCAACGGTTTGTCTTGACTTAACCGCAATATCTCAAATACCAGTCATACACCACCTCATATACAATATGATAGTTGCGTAAACAAGCGAAAAACCTATCATCGCGCGCTTTTAAACAAGTAAAGACTGTGATGAAACCAGTCGTGTTGGGTGCAGCAATATTAGCTGTAAAGTTGTTCCAGGTGGCTCTCCACCTGATGCAGTGGAGCCAGAGAATACTTATTCAGGCACATGATATATACTTAGACTTCTAACACTGAAGAAGCGTTGTTCAGTGGCAGAGGAAGGAACTAGAAGCATTGTCGTACGTTTTGTGCGACGTGACAAACTAAATGCCGTTCTCATAAAAGTCAGAAAAGTAAGGCCCTCGGCTAAGGAAATCGGTTTTAAGGTGTCGGCACGAATCTTTGTCAATGAAAACTTAACCCGTCACGGTAAACAGTTGCTTGGTGCTGCAGTGGCTAAAAACGAGAACTTGGCTGGTGATTCGTTTGGACGCAAGGTGGCAAAATCTTTGCGAAGGAATTTGAAATATCGGAGACCCTAGCAATCTGGTGTCGTGGAGAAATAGATAAGTTGCATATAATAATTTAGGCTTTTTATTTATTATAATATTAACGATGCTTCAGATTTGCAATATCAGGATCAAGATAAACATTTGCACGTCTTCAAAGGGCTGTCAAAGCAATTCACTGCATTGCATATTATAGCCCGTAGAATTAGAAATAAAACGGATGACATCGGCGGGTTCTTTAATATTTTTGAGAGCAAATTTTATGTTTTCTGTATTACGGAATCTTAGCTGACTCCAAAAGCCCACCACAGTACCCACCACCGAAAGCCCACCACCGAAAGGCCACCACCAAAAGGCCACCACAAAAATGTCATTATGTTCTTAACGACATTTTTGGGTCTTCAAATCGGGGTGGTGGCATCAGTATGTATTTTAAGGATACCCTTTCTAATGACTTTATTGACAACTTGACCTGTATCACGCCTCGAATCGAGTGTCTTACAATGTGTATGCAAATTGTATTAGTTGCGGCTGGTTATCGACCTCCCACTGGGTATAGGTCTGAGTTTTTCACTTTTATAAAAAAAGTCGTTGCATGAACTTCATTCGATGCGCTGTCATTTCCTTATCGTGGGCGATGTAAATGTTTACTTGCTCAGTGGGTACACATCTTGCGAGCAGCTGAAAACTGTTCTAAACTCACACGCTTGTTCCAATGTCATCACACAACCTACAAGTCTTACTGATTACACAGCAACTTTGCTCGATATTAGTATCACAAACGCCCTTAGTAATTATTGTACCAGCTGTATATTATCACTCGACGTCTGCGATCACCTGCCAATCTTCACATTTTGGCCACTTGATAGTGTAAGGCGGGACTCTAATGAAAAGCCACGTTATCGTAGAATGAACTCTGATCAGCTTTTATCACACAACACATTTGATCATGCGCTTGAAACTACAAACTGGAACTTCGTTTATGCAGAAAAAGACCCCGATAAAGCATACCGTCTTTTTTATGAAGCATTTAGGGTTATCTATCACCGAAATTTCCCACTTTTTTCATTCAGTAAGATGAAACAAATTCGCAAGCCTTAGATTAGTGAGTGGTTTTAAAAAAGAATGAGACGTAAAAACAGAATGTACCACGCATTTGTAGGGAACCGTGACGCCGCTCTGCTTAGAGAATGGAAAAAATGCCGTAATAAGTTAAATGCCGACTTGAAAAAAGCTATGACCTGCTACTATTAAACCCTTTTTTTCTAGTATACCTAATGAACCTATAAAGCTGTGGAACGAAGTAAGCAATTTATCTAACAACTCGAAAGTAAACGTGGTATTAGCATTACAGCTTTTGCGCATTGTAAAACGGAATGAAAGCACTCACCGAAATGAATGAATACTTTACTATTGTGGATTCACTACAAAACAAATCTCAGTTCTGAGGCCTGTCATGTCATACACAAACGCGCAAGGTTGCTGCACCAAATTCGGTTATTTCCTAAAAGTCAACAAGAGGAGGAAAAATTGGTAGGCAAAGTTTGAACCAATGTTTCTGTAGAAATTGATGAATTATGCCTTACCCATTAAATATGTATCGGTTCTTATATCTTAACCATTAACACATAATATTGAGACAATGCTTGAAACTGGCATGTTCCCCTCAGATTTAAAGCTTGCTCGCATATGCCCAGTACATAAGGATGGCACTACTAATGATATATATGTAATTACAGGCCAATTTCTTTGCTACCCAGGTTATCAAAGGCATTTGAAAATGCCATAAACTTGCGTTTCGTCAATTTCCTAAATAAGCACCACCTAATAAATGACGCACAGTATGGCTTCCAGAAAAATAAATCTACTGAGCTAGGTTATATTAACAACCTATTTGACATTCCAAACTCCCCAAAGCTTTGCCCCGCCACGGTGGTGTAGTGGCTAAGGTACTCGGCTGTGGACCCGCATGTCGCGGGTTCAAATCCCGGCTGTGGCGGCTGCATTTCCGATGGAGGCGGAAATGTTGTAGGCCCGTGTACTCAGATTTGGGTGCACGTTAAAGAACCCCAGGTGTTGGAAAATTTCCTGAGCCCTCCACTACGATGTCTCTCATAACAAAATGATGGTGTTGGGACGTTAAACTCCAAAAATCAATCAATCAACTCCCCAAAGTTAGTAATGTACGATGACGACACCAACGTCTTTTTTTAGGCGCCCACACTTATTCAGCTTGAGAAAATGATAAAAGAATGTCTTGTTCACCTAGATGAAAGGCTTCATGCAAACAAGTTAGTCCTAGATATCAAGAAATCTAATTATGTCCTCTTTAGGTCCCCTAATAAACAATGCGACACCCAGATTATGCTAACCTATTAGGACACTGTTTTAGAGCACGTAAATCGTCAGAAATTTTTAAGCGTGTGGTTTGAAGAAAGCATGTCCTGTAATAGGCACATCAATAAACTCACTTTAAAACCAACCAAAGCCGTTAGTGTTATATCTACACATTAAGAATTAATTCCTGTATATTATATTGCACACTTGTATTGGGTACCAGAACAATTTCTAAATAAAAAAACTGAAAACAATGCAAAAGAAAGTGCTCAGGCTATTTGAGAATAATTCTGGTGGACCAAAAGACTTACCAACACATCGTTTATTTAATAGGCATGATTCGCCTAATGGAAGTAATTTATATCACTATAAACTCCCCATGCACATACATAAACATAATCTGCTGGACATCAAACATGAAGCACCACAACGTTATATTCTATGCCTTAAGCACCACGAACACGTACAATTTATGGAAGATCAGTCCTCACTTATCAAATACTAGCCCTATTAAACCGTTTGTCTCTACAAATAAACTTGGATAATCCACTTTATCAATTAAAAAACAAACTGGCAAATCCCACGTACGGTGAGAATTGATGATATGCGAAGCACGAATGAGACATGTTGATGTGTCACTTTTGCCGGACTCACTGAAATGCGCATGCGTCAAAGCAACGCAGCGCGGCGTGCACCTGCGAGTACAAGGTAGGACCGGCGCCTGGCGTGGAAAAGCAGGCGTCACGCGACGATATGAACGCCGGCGAGCACGCACACCCCGTCAGCTCAAAATCAATTGGTGCCTTGATTGCTGCATTTAGTCAGGTTCTCACATGACACGCATTTCCTGATTAACATAACAAATGTCACCAGTCACATTTTTTCATCATCTATTGGCGTGACGTAATACCAAATTAGGCATATGTGAAGCTAGCGAAACGGCCGCGAGCACATCATGAGTGTGGCATGAAGTCAGGTTGTTACATGACACGCATGTCGTGATTATCATGTTTGGCTGTGTCCTTTACCAATGTCACCGTTCGCGTCGCTTATTACTGAGTTTGGTGCATGTGAAGCCGCGAGCGCATCGTGAGCGTAGCATGTAGTCATGTTGTTACATGATACGCATTTCATGTTTATCATGTTTGCCCCAGTATCATACCTCCGTGATCCATTCACGTCCCGTAATACCAAACTTGGTATATGTGATGCTAGTGAAACGGCCGCGAACCCATCATGAGCGAGGCATGTAGTCATGTTGTTACATGACACGCCTGTCATGATCTTTATGTTGAAGTTTGGTCACTTCTGTTTTTTTTTTTTTTTTTTTTTTTTTTTTATTCAAGTACCCTAAAGGCCTGGGTAGGCATTACATAGGGGAGTTGTAGCACAATAAAGCTGTTACAATTACAGTGTATAATTTGAATAACAAATACAAACGATTGATATAAATATGCACATACATATGTAGAGATATTATTACTTAACAGTACAGAGATGCTACGTGGAGGAATAAAGAAAGTACTAAAAAAAAAAAAAAAAAAAAAAAAAGGACAACAAAACTCTAAGGAAAATTTTCGCAGTGTTCAAAACAACAAAAGGATGCAAAGAAAGGATAATTCACGATCATTGAAATACCGCGTACAAGAACAACGACAACAAGTACAACAAAGCAGATATGCACAAGAACAATATTAACTTTCATTAAAATAACTTTTAAGTTTATTCATGAAATCTTCATGATTTTGGGAAGAAACGACGTCGGCAGGTAGCTTGTTCCAGTGATATATTGCGAGAAAGAGGGGGGATTTACTTAAGAAGTTTGTTCGAGCAAAAACGGGTTGTACTTTAAAGGGGTGATCCAGGCGCGGAAAGATACGATGGGCGGCCGTGATGTGGCGTACGCGGAACGATGATGATGAGTGATAAAGTTTGTGGAAATGAGATAGAAGTGCTATGATTCTTCTATTCTCTAGGGTGCTTAGATTCAGAGATTTTTTTAGGTTAGTTATGCTTGATGTTCGTGAATAATCTTTGGTAATGAAGCGGGTTGCTTTATTTTGAATTGCTTCGAGTTTGTTGATGAGATAAGACTGGTGCGGGTTCCAAATAAAAGATGCATATTCTAGTTTTGCGCGAACCAACGTCGCATAGGCCAATAATTTAGTAGACTTGTTTGCCAAATAAAGGTTACGCCTGATAAAACCAAGAGTTTTGCATGCACTGCTACAGATTGCTTCGATGTGGTCACTCCATGAAATGTTAGAAGATAAATGAACTCCCAAGTATTTTATTGTATGCGCACGCGCGATGACTGAGTCATTTATCAAATAATGAGTAAGCTTAGGATTAGACACTCTAGTGAAGGCTACAGCCTTAGTTTTCGAAGTATTTATCTCCATTTGCCACTGTTCACACCAATCTGCAATTTTCGCAAGGTCAGATTGCAAAGCGTCACTATCAGAGGTGGTAGTTATTCGTCTATAAATTACGCAGTCATCTGCGAATAATCGAACTGTAGATGAAATGCTATTGCTGATGTCATTTACATACAATAAGAATAAAATAGGCCCCAATACAGAGCCCTGAGGCACCCCTGACTTGACCAGTGATCGTGAGGAAGAAAATTCATTGGCAGTTACAAATTGGTACCTGTCGGTTAAGAAATTCCTTATCCAATTCACAACCTGACTATGTATATTAAAATAGCGAAGTTTTTGTAATAAACGGTTATGAGCTACCTTATCGAACGCCTTGGCGAAGTCGATAAATATGGCATCTATTTGCGATGAGTCATTAACAGCTTCGTAAATGTCAGAGACCAGCTCGAATAACTGCGTCTCGCAGGAGCGACCCTGTTGAAAGCCGTGCTGGTTGCTGAAAAGATGGTTGTGCTTTGTTAGGTACTTCATGATTGCCGAAGATATGATATGCTCTAATAATTTACATGGTATACTGGTCAGCGAGATTGGTCTGTAGTTGGTGACAGATGACGGGTCTCCGGATTTAAAAATTGGCACTATTTTAGAAACTTTCCATCCGTCAGGAACGCATCCTGACTGAATCGATTGCTGGAAAAGGCATGCAAAAATGGGAGAAATAACAGGTTTAGTTAACTTTAGCAGTTTAGGACAAATACCATCTGGACCAGGAGCAGAGCTGCTAGAAAGACGATCAATAGCAGCTTCGATTCCCTTTTCAGTGATCACGATGTCCTCCATGATGGAGGTAACGGAGCCGAGGTGAATATTGTCGGTAATAGGAAGCTCACGAGAAAAAACAGAACAAAAGAAGGAATTGAACGCAGTAGCGACTTCAGAGGGCGGGAGGAACTCGTTGCCTTGCATTATCGATATGAAACATGAAGACGACGGCTTGGGGTTTATTACTTTCCAGAATTTTTTTGTGTTGACAGTTAACATGTTGGAGATGTCATGGTTGAAAAATTTGTCTTTTGCTGCCTCAATTTCGGTTTTGCATAACTGCGACTGTTCGCGATAAGCCTTCCAGGCATCGTCAGATTGCAAGGTTTTAGCTCTTGAATAAAAGCGCTTCTTCTTGTTAATGCATCGCTTCACGTGGGAGGTAAACCAAGCGCTCCCTGTAGACACAGATATGTGTATTTTTGGAATGTATTTTTCTTTGAGTTCGATTAGCTTGTGGCAGACGATCATCCAGTTCTCATTGCTGTCGCGATGCTGCATGCCGTTGAAAAATTCTACGCAAAAGGACGAGAGTTCGCTATAGATCATTTCAACATCTGCACGTGCGTAATCATAAATTGTTTTCTTTTCATTCACGCTTTCTTTACGCGTTAACTTGAATTCACAATGGATGACATTATGGTCACTGATGCAGTCTAACACATTAACAGACATGTTTGACGGTTCGGTGGTAAGCACAAGATCCAAGATAGCATCCCCCCGTGTTGGCATAGAAACTATTTGGCTTAAACCGTAAGACGAAATCACGTCAAGAAAGTCCTTACATTCAGCTATCCTTGCGCCGCTATCGGCTGTGCCCGTCCGCCAGTTTATTCCAGGATAGTTAAAGTCGCCCGCGAGAATCACAGGAGAGCCAGGAAATCTGTCATATACGAGGCTCAATGATTCGTTTAGGCAATTAACGAAGGTTTCTTTTGAGTCAGGCGGACGGTAACAAACCCCAACGGCACAAGTTACACATGAAAGCTGGACCAATACCCACAAAATTTCAATACAGGAACCCGTATCAAGCAGACGCGCTTGAAGATCTTTTTTTACTGCAATCATAACACCACCTCCTCGAGTTTCCGTTCTGTCCTTTCGAAACAGGATAAAGTTTTTAGTAAAAGACAATTCATGGTTACACACGTCACTCGTCAGCCATGTTTCAGTTCCCACTATGATGTCAGCCGAGCAGGATTCGACAAACGCACAAAGGTGATCTTGTTTTCGAAAAATACTTCTAAAATTAGCTATAATAATAGATAGCTTTTTAACTTCGGTTTCAATGGGGCGTCATTCATAAATCGCGGGAGCGTCTTGTCTCGGGATGGGGACCACTTTATTGCTCGAGGAATCGACGGTGAAAATTACGTTGCCCATTATAAGCTTGTCAAACTGCAACTTATACTTCTCATTTTTCTGTCGCTTCGCACGCGCGAAATCACGAAGCGTTTTTCTAATTAGCTGCACACGAGGTGAAAAATCCTCCTCGATCCACACTCGCGGGGTTGCCAGGTCTTTCAGCTTGAACGCATTTTTCAGAATATTGCTTTTGTCCTTGAAGTTTAGGAATTTGACAACAACAGGTCGAGTGCGATCGGGTTTGCGTTGCCCGACCCGATGGGCTCGCTCAATTTCACCTGGTTGAATTCCCAAGTTTTCCGTGACGAATTCATGAATGAGTTTTTCTGTATCGCTCCATTTTTCAGCGGCTTGCTCAGGAACACCCTTGAACACGAGATTATTGCGCCTCATTCGATTGTTCAGGTCATCTACAACAAGGTTGGCTTGATGGGTCTGTTTTTGCTCAATGGTTTTCAACTGTTCCTGAGACTCTTGCACAACAGAGCCGACAGCCTTGACGCTTTCACTTAAGTTGTCAACGCTCTCAAGACGCTCCTCTATTTTGGAGAGCCGCCTTTTGAGGTCTGTTACAGTAGTGTGAATGTCTTTTAGCTTGTTCGTCACTTCCTTTTGAAAACGTTCATTTGAAGCAGTGAATTCCTTTACCAGTGCCACCACTTGGTCAACCTTGTCAGGACCTGGATTAAGCTCAACGTCGCCCGCACAAATGAGCAAATGAGCAAGCGAAAAAAACACAAGCACTAGGCGTCCACCCAGCAAGTGACGGCGACCTAATGAACACGGACGGAGCCACAAAAGATTACATGATCCCGTATTTTTTCTCGGCTGAGTGAAACAGCCGACGCGAGCGCGGTAAGTGCACAAATCAATACCCATACTTAGTCATACATAGACAGTGTGCAATTGGGACAGTGTGCAATAGACAGTGTGCAATTGGGGGATATGCAGCCAGTTAGAAGTTCAGCAAGGGCAAGCAAGTAGCTACACACTCACCTAGAAAACAGCACGTTATTAGCTTGAGGCTTTGGCTGCAAATCCCCACTCGGTCGGCGTGAGCGATCCTTTTTACGGCGGGGCTGAACTGAGGGTGCTTGAAGCGATGAGCAGTCGAAGCGGTAAGCAATGGCAGCGCCGGTGTGGTGCTGATTGCCTCAGATGAAGTGGTGATTGCCAGTCACGGTGCAAGGTAAAGGGGGACGCCACGTGTCCGGTGGCAACTACGTCCGGTGGCAACTGCGTCCGATGACCTAGAAAACAGCACGTTATTAGCTTGAGGCTTTGGCTGCAAATCCCCACTCGGTCGGCGTGAGCGATCCTTTTTACGGCGGGGCTGAACTGAGGGTGCTTGAAGCGATGAGCAGTCGAAGCGGTAAGCAATGGCAGCGCCGGTGTGGTGCTGATTGCCTCAGATGAAGTGGTGATTGCCAGTCACGGTGCAAGGTAAAGGGGGACGCCACGTGTCCGGTGGCAACTACGTCCGGTGGCAACTGCGTCCGATGACCTAGAAAACAGCACGTTATTAGCTTGAGGCTTTGGCTGCAAATGTTCGCCACGCAATCATGTTATACCATACCAGTTTTGCAACATGCCATTGAATGACACCACCGCAAGAGCAGCCGTACCACGAAGTGCCAATCATAACATTCATGACATACATTTCATGACTTTCATGTTATAAATAGTCAGATATATTCCTCATACAGCCATATTATGCCATACCAAGTTTGGTGTCGAAACCATTGCTGAAACGGCCAGGGGAGCTAAAAATCATAGGCGGCTAGATAGATAGATAGATAGATAGATAGATAGATAGATAGATAGATAGATAGATAGATAGATAGATAGATAGATAGATAGATAGATAGATAATAGATAGATAGATAGATAGATAGATAGATAGATAGATAGATAGATAGATAGATAGATAGATAGATAGATAGATAGATAGATAGATAGATAGATAGATAGATAGATAGATAGATAGATAGATAGATAGATAGATAGATAGATAGATAGATAGATAGATAGATAGAAGATAGATAGATAGATAGATAGATAGATAGATAGATAGATAGATAGATAGATACGCTCGAACTCGCAGAAGTTCGCTAAGAAATCCTTAAAAGAAATAGGACTATTTCTATTATATGAGCACAAAGCCATTACATTATCACCTCATGTATGTCGGCATATAATTTTTTCGCATTATCGAACATTATTATATGTTTCAAATGTTCTCATTTCTTGCATGTACATATCTTTTTCACTTTCCTTTATATTGGTGTGTTGAACGTTAATGTGCATTTTGCTGTAACATCCATTTCGTGTTATCAGTAGAATATGTTTTAACTTTTTATTAGTTTTTCTTTATACCTTTGTTGTGTATATACGAAGTTGTATAAGTTATATAAGTTGTATAAGAGAATATCCATTAAGTGCTGCCTGTACTCCTCCCCAAAATTTCTTCAGCTGTTTTAACAGCTATTTTGCCGGGGGAACTCCCAACTGTTTTTCTGTTGAAATAATAAATAAAGAAATAAATATTATAAATAAATAAATAAATAAACGAACCTACCAACTTGCCAGATGAAGTTTCACAGCGAGAGGTGACCTAGTGCTGACCACGCTATTTACACTCGGACGACCTACGGCGTTGTACATAACCGCCTTACAAAAAAACTGAAATCTCTACATTCCTGTGTTTACAGTTTATCAAATGTAAGCTCACTCTGCTCCCACCCAATACACATAAATTTAGCATCACTTGAAATCAGGAATGACAAATCTTTCGGAAGGTAACGACCATGCATGTGCAGCGTCGACACACGCTGATCTCCAGGGTCTATAACTGAGCCCTAACTCCGAGCGTGCCACCATGTTTTGTAACTTTGACTACTACATGTTATGCGGTCAATATTTACAACCAAAAGCGTGTCGCACTTTGCGATGCGCAACGTGACAAGGGTGCTCGGGTGTGGTGGTACCTTCACAAGTCACAACGTGCGTTAATATGATTGCTTAGAAGAGCTATATACGCTTGCACGTTAGATGACAGCCGTGTTTTTCTATTCCTTGAAAAATAAAAGCATGCGCTAACAAGCAAGGCCGGTTTGAGCTTTTGATTTATTCAGAACGAGATAAACGCGAAATGCGCAAATTACTCAGAAACATGCCAGGCCGTGGAGGCGCTAAATGCCACTTAGTCCATGCTTTTTGATAATTGCTTCTTTCAATATATATTTTCAAGAACTATACACTGTCGAGCCATGAGTTTATAGCAAACAGGGCAGGACTGTTACAATTGAAAAAGAAAGAAAAAATACTGGAAAATAACCTGAGAGTTCGGATAGCTATTGACAACACTTTTCTAGGTGGCAGGATATTGAAAAAAAAAATATTATATCGATACGTAAACATATACGGTGCTTGACACTGACGTCGACGCCGACGCCGGCAGCAAAATCAAGCGGACAGTGTTCCTATAGATGCTATCGCTAAAAAAAAACTCGAACACCTAACGCCGATGCCGCCGTAATCCTCGGGTCTACAGCTCTCCCCGCGCAGTGAAGCTCTCCTCGACGAACCCTCCGCGCTCCTGGCACCGCTGCGTGGCCACTGCGGCGACAAAGCAAGCGCTCCCCTTACCGTTACGGAAGAGTGTCGTGACCGGAAAACATCGAAGGACTCTTGTATGACAAGTATTCACCTTAAAGCTAGCCTGCTCTGCAAGCAAATGTTTCATACACGATAGAGGTTGTCAGAAATATATGACCAATTATGGCAGATGTAAAAAAGTAGTGCAGCTTACTACTGTTAGCTCCCTTCCAAGAAAGAAGAGACGCGGCACACTAAGTGAACACTCTTGCCCAATTTCGAATGCTGAACATGCGTCAAGCCGGGACGCTTAGTGTGGGGCAATGAAGAAGAAAACGACAGAGAACACGTGGGGTGAAGTTTCCAAACATGTGTTTAGAAAGCAGCTTTTCTCAGATTATTGATCTTATATGACTTGGCATGCAGGTGGCTCAGGAACTTCTAAAGAATAATATCCAACGCCTTGAAAAGCGCATATACGAAGTATATCCCAGACAGTTAAGCTTCGCTAGCGAAACAGCAGAAATGTGCGTACTGAGCGAATACTCCTTCCCAAAATCTGAACTTTATCTTGCATGAAGCCGGGTCGCTCCGCGCCAGACGTTTAAGAAGTATTTGCGCGGAAACACATGGGGTGATAATTCTGGACTCGTAACTAGAAATGTTTTTTTAATGGCGTACTTTTACTTGATGATGTGTATAAGCTAATTATATCTCTTTAAAAAAATCATTGCGCCACAGGTGCTGCCTCCACGGCTGAACGACGCATACCGTCGTGAATGAGCTAGGTGGAAAAGAAATTTTGGTAGAGAGACTTTTCATAGCCTTTCTTCGATTTCAGTCGTTAGCATTTGGGTTCCACTTATTCCAAGTCAATATTCACTGTTTTCTTTGACGGTGATATGTGTGGAAGAAGGTGCTGATCTGTGCAAGCTCATCTACAACTGTACGACGCTGAAATGCTTTGTTCTTTAAATAGGGACCCTTGACGTAGTGTAAAAAAATTACATGAAGCACAGCCCCTACATAAGATGTCTATTTCATCACATCTTTTTTCTAACTCAAATACGTACAGAAAGAAAGTTAATTATTAAGAAAGTTCCAGTTTTCAACGCCACTAAGCACTTTCAGATTATAACAACGCTACACTACACCTGCTAATTTTTATCGTCCCCCCTAATGTTAGTACAATGAGAACAGCAACAGTGTGAAAGTTATTCGGTATTACAAAATTGTCTGAGTATCAATGCTTTAGTCTATACTAGTAAACCTCCTATCTACCAGAGTTCTAATGTGAGATATTTCAGTGAGGCATGCAGGCAGGCAGGCAAATAACTTTATTATTATCCAGAGGTGGCGCTCAACTCCCCTAAGGGGGCGTCACCGGTGGCCCACTCCCACGACTAGATGCGGAGGTTAAACTCTACGACTATGTAGTGGGCCTTCTTAATGGCCCCAAGCTGGTCTCCTTTGTCATGGCTTGTGAGGAGACAGTTCCAGTCCACCTCCGTAGAGGGAGACTCGCTGCTCCTGCGCGACGCGGGTCATCGTTCCAGCATGTGTTGGAGAGTACATTTGGGATGACTACAGTGTGGGCAACCCGAATCTATGCCATCCATGTATTTAAAACAATTGAGAGGTCATGCATACGCCTCCATCTGTAAGAGTCGTAGAGTGATGGACTGAAGTCTTGTTAAGTGTGGGTGTGGGAGTGGGTATTTCCGCCGCTCCAAATGATAGTGTTTGCAAATTTTATTAAAAGTTAGCAACGGGTCTCTGAAGAAACAAGTGACGTCCTCAGCATTGGAGTGATTCTCCCCGGCATGGAATGTGAGACCTCGCGCCCGGGAGTGAGCCAACTCGTTGGCATTAAGGATGGTTCCGTGCGCGTGTCGGCCAACGTGTGCCGGGAACCAGATTATGTGTTTTTTGCCAAGTGGTAAATTCAGTGAGGTTTGTCGGGATTTCATAATTTTAACCTCTGAGCTAGTTCAGAATCAACAAGGCATACACATAAAACAACTAGTTTATAATGCTAGTTTAGGAAGTATATTACGTGCTATGAGGCGTAGCCGAGAAGGGTGGGATGTTGCAACCTGAAAGAAAAGTTTTATTGAATGACACTAAAATACTCCTGTATTCAGACCTCGTCAGTTTATTTCTAATTCCCTTTTCGAGTTTTTACTTGTGTTAGAGAGTAATAGCCAAGCGCCATTGTTCTGGCTTTCAGCACAGCTATTTTAGTGGACATGCAGCGCGTAGACAGGATAACCGCTGGTCAT